TGTTAATCACAAAAAATGGTTATTTAATATGAATCTCTCAATAAACATATTGAATTGGAGAAGTCAAAAAACATCTATATCTACATCTGAGTTGATAAGATGTCGGCTCTTACTTTCTTCTTTGTCTTATGTTGAAATAACTTACGCTAATCGCAAATGGCCTTGTACATTACCAAGTTGGAAATTATTCCCCTTCTTAGATTGATGTAATAAATCTAATTGAAACTTGAAAAAGTACTCGGAGACAAGTATATAGTTTATTTCATTTGTAAGAGGGAACTTTAGAGCATAATAGAATAAGGTTGTATCGCAGTTTTAATTATTAAATGTTAGAAATTTTCAAAAAGGTATCATGAAAAATATAGAAAAATATTTTGGCAGTGTAAAATTGGAACGGCATTAACATAAACGACATCACATACAAAATATTTCAATAACATTTAGATCAAACTTGGTGCCAAGCCCAAGTATGATCTTCTATAAATTTGAAATTTCTTTCACTTTTTGGTAAAAAAATTTGATGTTGGGCGGACGTTTTGTTCATTTATTGGCAACCATGGTCGGCTCCTTTTGTAAAAGTAAAAAGTAACAAGAAATTAAACGATAAAGCGAACAAAATATTGTATAGTATAAAAAAAACAGCAAAAAACGGGACTGGAAAAATAATTCAAAAATATTGGATCGATGTATAATTGTTGTTGAAAATGCCTAAAGTTGTGTTCAAAATGTAACAAGTAGTGGAAGCGTTAAAAGCATTAAACCCCAATTGGATTGATCAAAAAAAATATAAGGCACTTCGATGTGTAATTATAAACATTTAACTCTTTATCGGGTTCAATAAAATTTAAAATGTAATTCGGATTTTATGCGTTTAATAAAATATACATGGAATTACAGATATTAATATTGTTGTGAAAATATGGTTCTTAATACATAAAAGAAATTACGAGTCCGAATAAAATAAATAATCATCCGAGTTTCTATCGGTGATGTATATTATCACAACTATGATTTTATATCAAATTGAAATTTGATTTTTGCAACAAAATGATATAATTACCTCAAAATTGCACGGAAAAAAGATTTAATCGAATCTTAATTTCTACGAATATCTGTTTCGAATATCAACAATTCGATTTATTTAAGGGATAAAACTTCGGATATTTGTAGACACCAGATGTAGATGCTAAAATGTCAACAAGGAAAATAACGTATTTAAAATAAATCTAAAAGTAAGTGAGAGGTATGTGGGAAATAATATTTTCTTTTAGGCGTGTCGACTGAAGGTGATAACTTAAAAATTGTCATCTCACACTTGTCCCACTTCTGAATTATGATAGATATATATTTTGGGGCGAATGGTTAGAGTAAGCATATGAAATGGAATTCATGCTGTGTTCCGTGATAGATATTATACTTGGCAGAAAGTTCGGCGCTCCGTAAGTATCCGTACAAGATGGCCACAACCTGAGCATAGTAAGTGTACCAGATTAGGGTTGTTTCAGGTTGTGCGTCATCTTTGTACGGATACTTACGGAGCGCCGAACTTTCTGCCAAAGTATAATATCTATCACGGAACACAGCATGAATTCCATTTCATATGCTTACTCTAACCATTCGCCCCAAAATATATATCTATCATAATTCAGAAGTGTGGGACAAGTGTGAGATACATTTTTAAGTTATCACCTTCAGTCGACACGCCTAAAAGAAAATATTATTTCCCACATACCTCTCACTTACTTTTAGATTTATTTTAAATACGTTATTTTCCTTGTTGACATTTTAGCATCTACATCTGGTGTCTACAAATATCCGAAGTTTTATCCCTTAAATAAATCGCAATTGTTGATATTCGAAACAGATATTCGTAGAAATTAAGATTCGATTAAATCTTTTTTCCCGTGACAATTTTGAGGTAATTTATATCATTTTGTTGCAAAAATTCAAATTTCAATTTGATATGAAATCATAGTATATACATCACCGATAGAAACTCGGATGATTATTTATTTTATTCGGACTCGTAATTTCTTTTATGTATTAAGAACCATATTTTCACAACAATATTAATATCTGTAATTCCATGTATATTTTATTAAACGCATAAAATCCGAATTACATTTTAAATTTTATTGAACCCGATAAAGAGTTAAATGTTTATAATTACACATCGAAGTGCCTTATATTTTTTTTGATCAATCCAATTGGGGTTTAATGCTTTTAACGCTTCCACTACTTGTTACATTTTGAACACAACTTTAGGCATTTTCAACAACAATTATACATCGATCCAATATTTTTGAATTATTTTCCAGTCCCGTTTTTTGCTGTTTTTTTTATACTATACAATATTTTGTTCGCTTTATCGTTTAATTTCTTGTTACTTTTTACTTTTACAAAAGGAGCCGACATGGTTGCCAATAAATGAACAAAACGTCCGCCCAACATCAAATTTTTTACCAAAAAGTGAAAGAAATTTCAAATTTATAGAAGGTCAATACTTGGGCTTGGCACCAAGTTTGAATCTAAATGTTTATTGAAATATTTTGTATGTGATGTCGTTTATGTTAATGCCCGTTCCAATTTTACACTGCCAAAATATTTTTCTATATTTTTCATGATACCTTTTTGAAAATTTTCTAACATTTAATAATTAAAACTGCGATACAACCTTATTCTATTATGCTCTAAAGTTCCCTCTTACAAATGAAATAAACTATATACTTGTCTCCGAGTACTTTTTCAAGTTTCAATTAGATTTATTACATCAATCTAAGAAGGGGAATAATTTCCAACTTGGTAATGTACAAGGCCATTTGCGATTAGCGTAAGTTATTTCAACATAAGACAAAGAAGAAAGTAAGAGCCGACATCTTATCAACTCAGATGTAGATATAGATGTTTTTTGACTTCTCCAATTCAATATGTTTATTGAGAGATTCATATTAAATAAACCATTTTTCTGTGATTAACAAAATAGATGGACATTTCAGTCCTAGATCAGATGCCGGTGACTTTTTCATACTGTGCTTTTATATTCCGAGTTCTGCTTAAGGTTGTGGGAAAAGGACATCGAGCGCCTGTATACCATTCAGTATTTTGAATGTATAGACACGGCATTCGAGTATTCGGTTCATTTTTGATTCATGCTTTGGGTTTTTAGGAATATCGTTTGAAAAATGAACAACATTCGTTTTCTATTTGAATTTGTTTTTATTTTCTGTTGAAGTGAATAAACCTATGTTATTTAAAATATTCATTTGCAAGCGCCACAATATTTCGTAAATTAAATTTAGCGGATGGAAATGTTATCAATGACTTGAACAAAAGCACAAAAAATCATATTCAATTGGTAGGTTATGGGAAGAACTGCTTGAGTGCTTGTACATTCGAAAATCTTGAAATTGAGATTTCATTTTGTGTGCACTCGTAATAAGTCTACTAACACGCTGATATCGAGTACACATTGCTACCATTACAGTATGATTTACGATTGCGCAATGAAATCATCTACGCAATATCCGCGCAATTAATTAGATTCCAAATCAATTACCAATGTTTTCTCTATAGTATTTACGAGGTGCTCACTTGTAATAAGTCTTTAAACAAGCAGATATCCGAGCATATATTGCAACTATGATGTAGAAACATTACGGTATGATTTACGATTGCACACTAAAATTATCCACGAAATATCCGCTCAATTAATTAGATTTAAAAGCAATTAGAATTGTTTTCTCTACAGTATTTACGACTTGATTAATAAATTTGAGTTGTATAAAAAGAAGGCGTTCTGTTAAAACATTCTGCACTGATATTCCGAATTTGGAAGTCAGCCAACCACAAATTTTCTCGCCAAAAAGTATAATATATATTTAATTATAGTTCATGGAACCAAAATTTACTACGTGTTAAACTAATAACAACCTTAACTACAAAACATGGTTCCGATGCCCGGATATAGGTAAAATTATGTTATATTTATAGTTATAAAAAACATTAAAAATAACTTGAATATTGACTGTTGTCTTTGTAATAACATGTCTATTGCTTTTATTCTATGAGTTGCATTTTTATCTACCATAATATATTCTCTTCACCACTTATGATCGAGCAAGTAAGTGTAAGTTAACTAACTGGCTGTGCCTTTACCAATAACAAAAGACAATGATGCATCCCAGGCTCTTACCGATGTAAGCTTTATATTTTACACTCCTCGTAACGGGGTTGTTCAGTCACTCGTCAGTGAAAGTATAGTCAACATAACCTTCCCAAAGCATTCAACACCATTAGCAAACGGTAGCCAGTAAGCAACACGGTTACGCTATCTTGTCGACATTCCCTTCCCCGTGGGTATGTATATATATATATATATGAAAAACCTACATTATATGAACGCAGTACTTCTTGCATTCATTTTAATGTGCTTACAGTGAGCACAAACTTCTCAGAATTTTTTCGTAAACCAAATTAAGTTTGACTAGCAATGGTTCAGAATCGAAATTTTTGTTTACCCTAATGGTTTAATTATAGTTGAATAGGAAGAAGGCGTCAGTAGGCCGCAAGTTTATAAATAGCCTATAATTTACCGCTTCTTGTAATTGTCCCTAATCCGAAGAAGTAGTGAAAATATTCGTATTCATATCCGCCCTATAAAATGATTGTCTTTTCTTAGCATATGGTCATTTCATTCAAATTGCTACAGAGTGCTGATCAAATTTAGTAAACAGCTCGCGAAGACACCAAAATGGAATCCAGCGGCGAGGGTTTCACTCATTACTTTACGGAGTTCGAGACAACGTTGAGTACTACTACAACCAAGATAGTCGTTATTGAGTGAGTACTTTTTTACTTTCTATATATGA